TCTGCCTCTACCAAAAGGTAAGCACAAGAATACTTTAGCAAGTATTCGTTGCGTAGTATAATATATATAACGTACTCCACAAGCGAGTAGGCTGGCGGATGGGTAGGGTATGCTTTTTTACGTTTTGGCTTATAGCTTCTTAACTAGCAGAGATACGCTTACATAATCTATTATTTAATAGAAGCGCCTAGTATTGCGCCTTCTAATAAAAAAAGAATTAGCTAATTCTGCCTAGTATTAGCTAAGTTATTAACACTACCTAGCAAAGTATACCTATTAATAGGTATGCTCGCTAGGTACCCCCCCTTTTTTAACCTTTTCTAGCATCTAGCTTATGCAGTTTAATAGTTATAACAAAACCCTCTACTACAGAAATATAGAGGTAGTTTTTCTCTTTCTTTTAAGCCCTATTTTGCTAGAATCTATGTATTATTGACAAAGTTTTGGGGGGTACCCACGAAGGACGTTGGAGTATACCCATTCCGCCAGCCTACAAGCGAGTGGCTCACACAAGCGAGTGGCTCACTTTTGCCAAGACCACACCAAACTTCACTCTACCTACAATGCCTTAATGTAACAACACAATTAAACCCTTAAAGGAAGCAGGAATACAGCTTGCTCTTTAGGCTATCTATTAAGACGCGACAATCTCTCAGCGACGCGCTGCAGCCATCTACAACGTGTCTTAAAGGACACTTAGTCACTAACTTGCTAGAACCTCTCTACAACATAATTATAAGCCTAACATAATTAAGATAACTAGCACTAAAGAGGAGGTAATTATCTAGCACGTGTTAAGGCTAGATAAGCAAGGATTCTTACCCTAACTTACTAATGTAGAGGGCATAGCTAATTCTCTACTTACTAAGCGCCACTAGACCCCTATTAGTAAGAACTAGGCTGCTAACTTTGTTAAACATTAGCTAGAGCTTAAAGTTAAGTTTAATTATAAGTATAACTACTACAAGAGAGCGCTGTGTAAGGATCCTAAGGTAATTAGTAACTAGTTCTAGCTTGTAGAGAATACTAAAGCTAAGTATAGTATCCTAGATAAAGACACCTACAACTTTAATAAATCTAGCTTTATAATAGGCGTTATATCCACTAGTGCTGTTGTCCCAGGCTCTAAGCGTTAAGGGAGACCAAAGACAGTGCAGCAGGGCGACTAAGAGTGGACTAGCATTATCTAAGGCATCTGCGCAAAGGGCTAGTCTATCCTACCCTTTATTATCCTCTCTAGCAAGCACCACCTCTCAGCCTAGTACAAGGAGCCTAGTATACCTAATAACTAGGTTATTAGTGTCTCTAATAATAGCTAGACTAATAATAAGCTTAGAGTAAAGTAGTTAAAGCACTTTATTAAGTATATAAAGGCGCGCACTATTAGTAGCTACTAACTACTTATTCTAGACAGCTATAAGAGCTACTACTTAGTTAAATTCTACTAGTACTGTGAGGAGCACAAGATTATCACTCTGTTTAAGCCCCTATACTTATCCTATCTGCTACAGCCGCTTGACGTGGGTTGTTTCTCCCTATTAAAGAAGGCCTATAGCCGCCAAGCTAAGCAGCTGATGCAGAGCAAGATCACTCGCATCACTAAACTTGAGTTCTTCCTGTGCTTTAAAGCTGCTTTTAATGCTTTAATTACTAAGAGCAACATCTAGGGAGGATTTAGAGGCACTAGCCTAGTCCTATTTAACCTAGAGGCTGTAACATTAAAGCTTGAAGTACAGCTTTGCACGCTAATACTACCTATTATAGACAACAGCATGTAGGAGTCTAAGACACTAAGCAACACCCTAGAATTTAGGTCTTAATTAAAGCTAATTTAAGAGAGTATCTAGAGACATGCTAATAGCTTACTAATATTAATAGTTAACACCCTTAATTAGCTTACTAAAGGCGCAGAGCTAATAGCGCATTTCCTAGTTTTAGTACGTAACTAGGTTGCTAACCTTTAGGTAGCTAATAAGGCTGCTATACGCTATAAATTACACAAAAGAAAGTAATTATAGCAAGATAGGGTATTAACCTTTACTAAGTAAGTGTAGCTAACTACTCTAAAGAAGTTTAAGGCCTGTAGTAATAGGAAGAAGGCAAAGAAGAGAGGAGGCGCTAATAGCAGCACTTAGTTATTAAGACACTGTAGCATGTGTAGCAAGGCAGGGCACAACAGGACAACGTGTAAGAAAGATGTGTAAAGTACTATAGATTAGTGCAATATACTGTGTAGTACATGATATTATTGTTGTGTGCTGTAATGTTGTAAAGTAGTTGTAGTGTTGGTGTAATCTTGGCAAAAGTGAGCCACTCGCTTGTGTGAGCCACTCGCTTGTGGAGTACGTTATAGACAATTATAGTGTTAGCCAGCTAGCTTTGCCTCTAGCTGCTATAAGCGCTATGCCACGTGTTGTGTTCGTGCATAGTCGTTACAGTTAACAAGTCACTAGATGTAGTAGTCTGGCCAAAGGCCAATAAAGAATATCTACTTCCTAACAACTTTTGCTAAAAAGCATGCACAAGTTAACTAGACGTCTAGTTAACTGCGTAGATAATATATATCTAGCTTAAGCCAAGCCGGCTAAGCTAATGTAACCGGCTAGCTCTAGCTCTTCTTTAGCTTTAGAGTCTAGACCGTTACACTAGAGGCTAGTTTTGCACCGAACTTTTAGGTGCCTAAATACCTGCCTACAACAATATAGCATCTCCTGTATCATTTCCTGTTAAATTTAAGTCTACTTATGTTGGAGAGTTGCCTTAAGCTCTAAGACTAATGTAATGTGGTGTAGCTGCTATTTGACTCGCTCTTTGATAATATTCCGCATGCTCTTAATAGAGATAAGATCTAGTGAACTAGCAGGATAGGAGAGGCTCACAACTAGGCTGGCGGATGGGTAGGGTATGCTTTTTTACGTTTTGGCTTATAGCTTCTTAACTAGCAGAGATACGCTTACATAATCTATTATTCGATAGAAGCGCCTAGTATTGCGCCTTCTAATAAAAAAAGAATTAGCTTATTCTGCCTAGTATTAGCTAAGTTATTAACACTACCTAGCAAAGTATACCTATTAATAGGTATGCTCGCTAGGTACCCCCCCTTTTTTAACCTTTTCTAGCCTCTAGCTTGTGCAGTTTAATAGTTATAACAAAACCCTCTACTACAGAAATATAGAGGTAGTTTTTCTCTTTCTTTTAGGCCCTATTTCGCTAGAATCCCTGTATTATTGACAAAGTTTTGGGGGGTACCCACGAAGGACGTTGGAGTATACCCATTCCGCCAGCCTACTCACAACACTACAATTCCGTCTATAGATTGCTAGTATCAAGTTAGTATTGCGAGTGCTATAGCTTGGATTGTTACCCTCTTGCAGAAACTATTTGTATTGTTAATCTGCAGGTACGTCAGGCCTCAGCTTGTCTAATTAGGCTACTGTAGACCTATATGCATTACAGTACTTTGGTAGAATCTTCTCTACATAGTATGACGCTCTTACAGAGTTGCTAGGCTTTGTTACCACAGGCTCATGTGCCTTCTCTGCCTCCTATTGGCGAACGCGGGCCTCCCAATCGCCAGGTTAATTAGTGGCTGGGCGCCTTCTTGGTGTTAGTAGAGGGTTTAGAGTAACTTAATGGTTGTACTTGTTATTGTAGAAGGTGAGCTTAGCTGCTTGCTTGTAGCAGTTAATCTAAGCAGCAAAATAGACAACGTTGGAAGTCTTTTTAGGCTAAACAACAATTGTAACGACGCAGGCACGAAGAGAGATATCCGGAATAGGTGTGAATCCGCTACAAGGCATATAGGAGCGCTAGGATGATAAGAACACTAGGATATATTCTCTACACCTATAGGTCTTGTATAAAAGGATATAGAAAAATTACTCTACAATACTACAGTTCCTTGCTCCTTATATATAAGGGTTTAGAGGCAGTTTGGTGCAACCTTATGCCATGCAACAAGGGCCATAGTCATAAGTCGCTGGTCCGTATCCTAGTGGTATCGGGTCACTGTTCGTAGCGCGTTGTTACAACAATGTTTTAAGGTACTGCGCGCTCACCAAGCACACGAAATATCTACTTAGCTAAGAAGTTATTAAGCGCCATATAAGCATCGTCAATGAACTGTACTCCATCCTAGTAGCCTACAACAGGCTGATATTGGATACTTGCGCAGTGATTCTGCCTCTGGTTGGCCTGTAGGTTGGTGATAGCTTTCTAAGTTGAAGCTCGAAACATAGCAGCGTCAGCTTGTGTGTGGGGTGCTTGCTGCAACGTGTTGATATTAGAGTTGAGTAACTGAGTTTTGGGAGACTGCCAGCGACTCTCTTAGTCAGCATCAAGCAGCTACTAGAGCTGCTCATCTGTGATCTTTGGAGGCCTGCCAGAGCCTTGAGATCTACATAAAAGCTGCTTTTTGGCCCCCCCATCGTGTCAGCAGGCAGCATTATCACCAATCTCTTTTCTAGGAGCAAGCTAATTATATGCAATTAAACTTAGAATTTTGTGTTGTTTAAAGAGCCTTGGGGTAGGCACAGGCTAGATATTGTTCTAGTGATCCTACGCGTAGTAGAACCACAAACGCGAAGGGGTATTAGCATGTAGCTTTCTAGAATCAAACGGCTGTACTTTGTAGCTATGTAGACGCATTTTTAATTAAAAAATATACAGATTTAGTAGAGTTATGGCTGCTTGAAGTTGAGTACTGACGCGATGTTTGCGCGCGCGACGAGGTTATGTCAGCAGAAACTGTCCGAGTTTTTCTGTTTTGAAGGACAAACGATACTCACACTTCACCGAGGAGATGACTCTGTAGTGATCGCCAAATAAGAGCCACGAGTTCTACCCGATGCTGCATCTTGTTATTGTCACCAATCGATTCAACGCATGCAACTAATGCAGTTGCGACAACTACGATAAAAGGTGCGCGAAGATCTGCTCGACTTTGAGCGAGATTATGACAGCGACTACTGGACTCAAGTACTCCGTCAATCGCAAGCTGTGCAAGATAGTCAAGTGGAGACCAAGAGAAGGTAAGGTGAAGAGCTAGAGAGAGTTACATGAAATAGTGTGGAATAATATGGATTGACAGCAGCGGGTTAAATTAAAGAGATTATACTGACTATGTTATAACCTTGCTGAGACGTGTGAGAACTACCTTTTTACACCTTGTAGGTTAGCTTTGCATCATTCGTCTTATTAATTTCGATATTATTGCTCTTGAAGCATTGCTGGGTAATTGCTTTGCCAACTAGATGGACCTGCGGGAGGCAAACAATAAAAATGCTTATGTAGACTTCGATAGCGCACCAGAATGATACCGGGACAACCTCGTCTATTGATGTTATTAGCTTGTGCGCGTACGCCAAATGTATAAACAAGAGACAATAGCAGAAGAGATATCGTTGTTATGGAAGAAAGTGGCATGACTGTCATTAACTTACACGTGAAATTAGAAGTGTAGAATGCTGTAAGCGTGATTGAAAGCCGTGTGATTGCGATCATGGAAATTCTAGTCAGTGCTAGTTAGTTGCAAAACAACGGTGTTTTTAAAGCGGCCTACGTACACAAATCCAAAGGCGAAGATAGACACGACTTCAATTTTCTTCCACCATTGCAACTGCAGCTTCAAAAGCCTCGGGATAGGCAGCGAAATAATGACGACTTCGATAACAAGATTAAGGATGCTAAAGGCAAAGTTCAGGCCTTGTCTGTCCACTGCACACATCGGCGGGTTCTCTCCGTGCATTGCATTATCACCAAGGTACATGCGCCAGCGGTGAGATATCGGCCAGCATTGGAGCAGGTGAGCGAAGAATATCGATACCATGGCAGTTGCGCATAAAGCGATCAAGAGATAGGTGACCTTTCGAATCTCCCCGGTCGGGAATAGGCGGAGGTAGAAGCAGAGGATGGCTATCTTGGTAGAGAAGGTGAGTATAACGAAAGTCAGTTCACTGACGAAGAAGTACTGCAAGAGTCAGCCTCTAAATTTCGGTTTTGTCCATTGTAGGTATCGGCACCTTTGCAGCATTCGCGACTGTGGCAGGTGATAGCATGTAGATGTCCTGTCCAAAGCCGTAGTGGACCACTTTATTAACGTCAGAAAGGGCTCCTTAATACAACAAAAGAGTGTTGGGAGTGAGAAACTTACTTGTGAGAAGACATATAAGCTGGCCCCCAGCTATCGGCTAAATAATCGTTAGTGTTGCTTCGTAAAAGATCTCTGCATGCATACTGCGATACCGATCACCACCCAATCATCTGCACCCCATCTCACGGAGAACGGCGATGTACGTGTGACGAGGCGTAAGCATACAGCAACAAGAGCGATACTCGCTGTAGTAATTGCTGTCGTTGTTATCATCGAGGATCGATTTCGAACTTCTGTATGGCAAGCCAGGTGAATCGAATATTTACCCGCTGGTCTCAGTCAGCTTCACTATATAAGCAGAAAAGCTGGGTGTGTCTAGATTTCCACTGACCATAATAATCGGGAAGAGAGCAATACATGTCAAAACATACATCCAGCTGATGTGGGATCTGAGGGTCGCCGCAGATACAAGCTTGGTCTACTGCATTACATCCACTGTATTCTAGAACAGCCAGACTGCAGGTGTGCTAGCATCGGTCAACGTTAGTAAGATCGAGAGGTATAACTCTCTACTTGTTTTCGCCGAGAGGGCCGGGCAATTGACTGTACTACGGAAAGCAAAATACTCTAAATGGACACTAAGTGCAGTGTACTTACAGAACATCGCGGTAAGTCGTCAAACAAACCACCGGTTGTCACATTTACGTAAAATGGTGCAGGCGGAGCCTCGTTCACAAGGTTGCGAGCCGATATCGAGAGATTCCAGTGTGCTAGGATCAGAAATATGACAAAGATTGTCATCGTGCTTTGAGTAGTCAACGGAGGTAAGATTGATAGGATAGAAGTCGACATGCCTGTGCAAGCGCTTGCCTTGATTTAAACAAAGAAGGTTCTGCTACGAGAACGCGTCTGCAGGGAAAGCCCCTCGAGGTACAGAAGCTTCTTTGCAAACTGTTACAACATTGGTTGCAGGGCTGTGAAACGGTTGTTTTACCTTACATCCTAACGTTGCTATCAAATGCGGTCGAGCAAGTTTCGCGAGACTTCAGTTTCAGAAATAGAAATAATTACTAATAAGTTAACGAGAGATGTTGTGAAGGTGGTTTTATTATTGCGCGTGCATTAATTGATGGCACGCAGCAAGTGCAAGGATATAGCACCTTGTCAAAGTTTAAACAATTTAGAGTTCAGCAATTGTAACTCAACCGCGATTGTTACGCGCACAGACACGGTACCGATACCGTAGGTAGCGGTAGAGAATTGTCCGTGCGCGTCGTGTTTCAGAAGTCTCAGTCGTAGAACCGAACGTCGCAAAGAACACATCTAACCGGGCATTCTTGTACCCGGGAGAGCGAGATATCTGACTACGGGGTAATGCAGTTGTTCTGCATCAATACCGACATCTTCACAATGCAATCTGCACGCTGCCGGCAGCAGCCTTTTCAACAATCGAGTCAGCTTCGACTTCACATTCACGCGTCACCCAACAAGGTAGGAATTAAATTTTTGGAAGTAACAGCAAGGCTCAGACAGGTAACCAATCAAGTCAGTCTGAGGTAGCTGAGCCCCACTTAGTTGATTGTTGACAACTGTGCCCGGCAGCATGCACTCTAGAACATGTTCACCTCTTGGCCCACGGCAGGATTGTTTTAGTCTCAATCGCTCGTCGCCACAGATCAATAAACAGAAGATCGATGTGCATGTCAGCGTTTGTCATGAAACGCAGGGGATATGTCGTCTGTCACTATGAACCATGAAGCAGATGACAGGCTTCACTCCTGTCAGAGCTTCGAGCACAGAGAAGCTTAGCCATGCACCGGCCCTTTTCGAAGGACCTTTCGGATACGGTACGGAGTCTGGTATGGCTGACATGGATTATCGACGTACCCGAAGGCACTGCGGCGGAGAAATGGCGTATCTTCTATCTGGTATAAAGGTATGCTCAAGGTTGGCCTCCATAATGTCCCTATATCTCTGCTGGTCAATCTCATCATGGTTTTCCTACCTTCAACTTTTTTTCTTGTTACTTGTTTCGTGGCTCTGTGCAACTCGGCGCCGGCGCCAGTTCCTTCGGCAGGCTCTAAGGTTCTTTCATGCACTGTTCAGCATTTCACCGACGCCTCTGGTAGCAACACATTCATTCCTATCATGCAACTAGGCATTGGAAGTCCACCACAAAAGATTACAGTCTTACTTGACACTGGAAGCAGCGACCTTGTTGTTCCCCAGACTGGCAGTGCCATCTGTCGGGACAAGCAGCAGCAGTGCACCGCAAACAAAAGCAAGTTTTCAACCGGATCATTCGATAGAGCGAAATCAGCTGGTATCACCGATACTAGAAGCCCACCGCTGAATGCTACTTTCCAAAATGGAGTCCAGTTACAGGGTAGCATCGTAAAGGCTGCCTTGACAATGGGCAACCAGAGTGTGGACGGGATCATGATGGGTATAGTCACTAAGGGAACACTTCCTCCAGGCGAAGCTCTGTTTCCAATCTTTGGCGTTGGTCCCAAGCAAGGAGAGGGCATTGCCAAACCCTACCAAAACGTTCCTGCAGCTATAAAGGATATTGGAGCTACCAACGCCAATGTCTTCGGTGTCTACCTGAATGATTTCCGTAAGTCTCTAAAATACCAACTTTCTGCTGCCCTTGACAACATAAGTCTAACTCTTCACCAGGAGGCAACGATGGATCCATCGTGTTCGGTGGCGTAGATAAAGCCAAATTTCAGGGCAAACTCCAGGCGGCACCCATTTTGGTCAATGACAACGGTCAAATTCCATCTTTTGTGGTGGATTTTAGCTCCGTCAAGTTGATCTCCGGTAATGGAAGTGCACAAGGAGCGCAGAGTACCGACTTGACTCCGCAGGGACGGCCCTCCTTCACCTTGATTGACTCTGGCAACCCAACCGTTCTCATCTCAACCAAGTCAGTAATGAGTCTCTCTAAGGCTTTGGGCTCTACCTTCAACAAGAGAACCGGAAACGTAGGCAATGTGCCGTGCAGCATGGCCCAGGAGGGTTTGAGCATGAGCTTTGGTTTCAACGCCGACAACGCGATCATCCAGGTACCCCTCGAGCTCATGATGACTTCCGACCAGAGCTCAGGAAACGGAGACTGCGCTCTTCCAATTTTTGCGACGGACAGTGACACTGGAAGCTTGGGCGCACCGTTTATGCAGGCCGCATACGTTGTCTTTGACATGGATCAAAAACAACTGTTGATGGCTCAAGCGGTTCTTAATGCTACAGAATCGAGGATTGAGGAATACAACCCAACAAAGACGTCAAAGTCATCAAAGTCATCAAAGTCGTCAATGTCGTCAAAGGTGTGCGAAGCACAATAGGTTTATCACTAGAGCGACTAGATTCTTCTTTTTCAGCGTAGAATGTGCTTACTTGTACTGTAATGCGATGCTGTGCAGTGTACGATCTTTTAGTCCGTGGAGCGAAATAGTTACGGTACAGTCTTCCATCAGTCCGTGCACATCCTCGGCTCGTGCACGATTTTGGCCCTGCTACCCACCACACAACATGAGGCTGTAGAGCCACCCACAATAGTAATTATCGTGAGATTTTGTTGTGGGATAGAAAATTAAGGTTTGCAATTACAGTTCCCTACATGTATTTACTTAGAACCTTGGTGGTGCGGCCACTGCGGGTGGTTGTTGTTGCAATAGGCCAGGCTTTGTTAACATAGTTGTCAACGATCAAATGAAACCAAATCTGAGTTCAGACTTAATTTGGTCTGGTTATAGGCTATCCCTAGATTTGTTTAGTTGATTTATGGAGGTTTTTAAATCAATTTGTTTAAAGGATTTGCAAATTGTTTACAAGTTAAATCTAGTTTAACGTAGACGCTGTTGTAAAGGAATTACTCGGCCAACTTATCCTATCAAGATAACGTACCTCACGGGCGAGCCGATCACACGGGCGAGCCGATCACTCTGCCAATACCACACTGTTATTCTACCTTTCAACCTAATGCCTTAATAACAACACAAATCTAAGCCCTTAAAAGAAGCCTCAATACAGCTTACCCTCTAGGCAGTTAAACAATACGCGACATTTACACTGCAACGCGCTGCAGCTATATTCAGCGCGCTCTATACCACACTACACAATCAATACGCTGGACAGACTGCACAAACTGAATTTGTACTAAATCCAAGGAAGCTAGACACAAAGCGTTAAGGATAGCTAAAAACAGTGCAGCAGGGCAACCGGAGTAAACTACGGTTATATAGGGCGTTAATAGCACTAGATAGGCTATTCTGCCCTTAGTTATCTTTAAAGGCTACAATCAGCTCTCTGCCTAGTATAAGGAGGATAATATACCCTAGGACTAGGTTATTACAATTTCGAAGAGCAGATAGACCACTAATAAGCTTAGTTACTAGTGGTTGGAGCACTTAAACACCTGTACAAAGAATCAGAGCTAGGGAGGGTATTAGCTGCTCCTAATTAATAGCTACAAGAGCTACAACTCCCTTAACTTCTAACAATACTGCAAAGAGGCTAAGATTATTACTCTGTGTATGCCGCTACACTTATCACACCTCTTGCAGCCACTAGATATTGGTTGTTTTGCCCCTCTAAAGATGGCATATAGCCGCTAAGCTAAGAATCTTATGCGCAACCATATTACGTATATAGATAAGGATATCTATAACTTTAATAAGACCAGCTTTTAGATAGGAGTAATTAGCTTAATAAAGGTTGTTATAGGCTTAGAGAGGCGTACAGGCTAAACCTTATTTAGCTAGGTAATTAGGAGTGGGTTACAGTTATCTTGTAACAACGCTCTACGAACAGTGACCCAATACCACTAGAATACGGTTCTAGCGACTCATGACCATGGCCCTTGTCGCATGGCATAAGCTCACACCAAACTGCCACCAAACCCTTATATATAAGGAGCAAGGAACTGTATCATTATAGAGTAGTTTTTCTGTATCCTTTTATACAAGACCTATAGGTGTAGAGAAGATATCCTAGTGTTCTTATCATCCTAGCACTCCTATATGCCTCGTAGCGGATTCACACCTATTCCGGATATCTCTCTTCTTGCCTGCGTCGTTACATATCTAGAGCATCTGCGCTGCTAGGTATGCAACCCTACCTTTCATTATCTACAAAGGGCGTGTCTATATCGCTGCCTAGTATAAGGAGACTAATATCCTGTACAGCTAGGAGCTCTTAGTCTGTAAGAATAGATAGACTAATAATGTGCTTAGTCTTAAGTAGTTAAAGCATTTTAACGCGCATACAAGAGCGCGTTAGAGGGGGTTGTACAGGCTGCTTATCTTAGATAGCTATAAGAGCCACCTTAACTAGAGATTTAAGGACTACTGCTAGGAGAACAGAATCCTTACCCTCTGTATACCTCCTCACTAATTACACATACTTTAGCTACTTAATATAACGTACTCCACAAGCGAGCTGGCCACCCAAGCGAGCTGGCCACTTTTGCCAAGACTACACCGAACTAGGCTGGCGGATGGGTAGGGTAGGGTAGGG